CAGCGGGAAGGCTCGAGGGAGGCGCGAGCAGCGAGAAGGCTCGCGGGAGGCGCGAGCAGCGGGAAGGCTCGCGGGAGGGCTCGCGGGAGGGCTCGCAGGAGACGCGAGCAGCGGGAGGGCTCGCGGGAGGCGCGAGCAGCGGGAGGGCTCGCGGGAGGCTCGCAGGAGGCTCGAGCAGCGAGAGGGCTCGCGGGAGGCGCGAGCAGCGGGAAGGCTCGCGGGAGGGCTCGCGGGAGGCACGAGCAGCGACAGCGGCGAGCAGCGGGAGCAGCGGCAGCGAGCGACGAGATCGCGCTCGTCGCGATCGGGATCGGGATCGAGAGCGACAGCAGGTTAGTGTTGGGTTAGGGTTAGGGTTATATAGGTTAGCGCCTGTTTGAAGCGCGCCGCCTGGGACATTAGCGAGGCGCTCGGGCGAGGCGAGGCGAGCGCCCGAGCGCCTTTTGCAATCACTGAGTATCACTTCTCATGTTATAAGCATTTGACCATCTAACCTAGTCCCCTACGTTAACAATAGGAAATTTAATATACTTGATCTAATAAAAGCAAACATCAATAGACAATTGTGGTTAGACTGAGACAAATTAAAAGATGGTCGATGATCACACAGCTGAAAGTTTCACATAATAACAGCAAAGGAATACAACATCATTTTAAATCATTCACTCGTTTACCTATTAGCTACCTCTATTCCACACCTTTGCTCTCAGGGAATTTGATATTACAATATCAAAATGATGCACAATGACATGCATAATTTGCGAGAACATTCAACACATTTAGCAATTATCAAAACAAGCCAAGAGCAATTGACCTCAATCAAGCAAATGACCCCAGTTATCTGCACGTTCACCGTGGATAGTTCTTCTAAGCATAGACCGGAGTCGTAAGCGAATAACTAATGCTTCCTATCCTTAGCCAAGAAAGGTGCTGTGGTTCTGGAGGGCAACACTGTAGGCCTTATGTTTCTTCCACTAAATCAAAAAGAGTGATCTCGCAAATGAACTTTGAGCCAGCACGGACATGACAATATACTATTCGAAACACCAACTCAGGAAATTAAATTTGCCAAAGTTATGAAGAAAGCCCTAATTTTAATTTAAATACAGAAATTCGGAGGTTTCTTGATACTTAATCATCAAAAAGACCTAAATTCTAATACGAATACATCCATTTGGAGGTTTCATGATTGCGGATCTCAAGAATGCCACAAAGAAACACCCAAGACATCGACCGGAAGCAAAAAAAAGAGAGATCGAAACCCTACTTTCTTCTTCCCCAATTCGAGGTGCCCTTTCTTGCGCGACGAAGCAACCGAACTGGGCATGACCTTCGCCGAAGCCATAGCGAAAACCCTATCCCCTTCCGGTCCCCTTTAAAATCCCCGACGTCCGCGTCCGCCGCGACCCATAGGATCCCCGGACCTTGGAGTTCGGGGACCGAAGGAAGGAGCGAGGAGCTTTGGATGAATGGATCTCCAAGAAACCAAACGAATCGAAGAAATGAAATCTTGCAATCGTGGAAGGATCGTAACGGCGGCGAGATCTCCGCGACTGAGAGATGAGAACGGAGGAAAAGAGGCCTTGATCAGGGGAGGGATTTCGGAGGGCGTTTGCAGGTTTCTCCTATCCCCCCGTCCCTCTCTCTCTCTCTCTCTCCCGCCCTGTTTACACTTTTATTTCCTCCTTCGTTGTCGGGTTGATGGTCGGGTCCGGAATGGAACACGGTTCGGGCCCGACTGGTGCGGCCCGGTTCGGCTTGGATCGCCTACGGTCCGGTTCGATTGGACCGTCTTTTGCGGATCGACTCGGTTAATTTCAGTGTCGAAAAAACACGTACGAGTATGTATCGGAAGGTGAGTGACGTATAAATAAATATTTATACACAGGCATGCATGCAACCGTTGATTTCTGCAGAATGTTGGAAGCACGACGGTGGAAAGTGTTGCCGCATGTTCTCTCTGCTTGATAAGCTGAGCTCCGTCGGTGTTGCAGAGAACAAGATTCAACCATCATCTCCATAGGTTATCTAATACCTCAATTAAAATGGAGCAGGATCCCAAAGATTGTGTAGATCTTATACGTATATCGATAGACGAGTAAAGGAAACGGGAGGATCTCATGTTCATGTTGCATTGATGAACACATTGACCAACTATGTTCATAGGATGATAGAATATAAATAATCTTATAGCGTTATTCATTGTTGGTAATTTAACACAATAAATATGGATCATGTTATATGAACCTAAAATTAAATTTTAATTTTTTTATAAAACTTATTAAATGCATAATAATATAGATAAAATTCTATAATAATTATGAAATATATTAATACGAAAATATACTCGATGAATCAATCAGAATATTTTCTGAATTAATTGATGAATTGGCTTTCTCTTTGACAAGTAAAAAGTATCTGAATTTGATATTACAATCAGGAATCATAACTCTATTTATGTTTATAATTATATCTATAGTTATACCCTAAGATGTTTAATATTTCCAACTTGTCTCGTCACAAGTTAGAAATATTATTGATGGTATCAACATAATTAATTTTTATAATAATTATGTCTCTTAATCAAATAATTTTATTTTAATTATATTATTTTTGGATAATTAAAATAATAGCTTAACATATTTAATTATACATATGTGACTCTAAAAATTGTAACAATCTCTTGTTCGGTCACATATGTATTCTTATAAATATATTATACTTTATGAGCTCAAAATTATTGTCATTATTAAACAAGACATACAAAATAATCTTATCCATTAGCCATATTAGTATAGGGCTAAAACGATCTTTGTTTTATTGATTATAGCTAAACACATCAATGATTACTAATATTCACATGATGAAATGACATAGATCAATTATGAAATATGTAGCATGAAAATTACATGAATGTGATATGTATATGTCAATTTTCAACTAATCCAACTTAATCTTTATGAAATCATTAATAACTTTAATAGCTATAATGTATAAAGTATAATAAACTAAAATTTATTTCTGACCAGAAAATATCTATACAAATATAAAATCCGACATAGAACATACAACAAATATATGATAAACTCCTACTAAACTAAAATTTTCTTAAATTCTAATACACACATATGGGTAATATACTCATGAAAGACCTTAGATGGTACACCTTTTGTAAGAGGATCTACTAATATAAAGTTTGTCCCCTTAGTCGATCTACTAATATAAAGTGTTATATAGAAATTTTTTAACTTTACACCCTTTCTTACACAACTAGGAACTTGATGTCAATGTGCTTTACCTTAGTCGATCTTCTATTATTGTTGGAGTATAAAATAATTAATTTATTATCATAATATATATTTAGCGATCTTTCAACCCCTTGTACTATTTGTAGCCCTATGACAAAATTTCTTAGTCAAATTTTATGATTGGATGCCTCAAAATATGCTACAAATTTTGTTACCATGGTGAAAGAATTAATAAGAGATTTCTTGGCACTACGCCAAGAAATCGGCCCACTAGCCAACATATAATTATAGCCCAATAATTTCCTACTATCTTGGCATTCAATAAAATCGGAGTCAGAATACCCAATGATCTCTAAATGATTTGATCTTCTATATATGAGCATATGACATTTTGTTCTCTTTAAATATCTCATGACTCTTTTAGCTGCCTTCCAAATCTATTCCAAGATTGTTTAAATATCTATCCAATACTTCAATAATGTACACTATATCCGGACGCATATAAACCTGTGCATACATTAAACTCACTACAACTGATGTATAGGGAATCTTTTGTATTTCTTGAGTTTCCATATTTCCTTTAGAGCACTGATTGAGACTGAACTTGTCTCCCGTTGCGATAGAGGTGTTTCCTAATTTGTAATCCTATATGTCAAACCTTTTGAGTACCTTATCGATATAGCTCTTTTATGATAATCCTATAATACCCCGAGATCTATTTCAATGTATTTGGATTCCTAATACAAAAAAGTGTCACCAATATCTTTAATTTCAAAATTTCTTGATAGAAATATTTTGGTTTTCTATAATATGCTTATATCATTTGTGGCAACCAGAATGTTATTCACATACAATATCAGAAAAATGAATTTTCTCTCACTGAACTTGTGATACATATAATCATCAACAACATTCACCTCAAAACTAAATTAGAGAATTACTTGATGAAATTTGTGATGCCATTGATGAGATACCTATTTTAGCCCATAGATAGATTTTGTAAATTTACAAACCATTTTCTTTAGGTCTCCTAACAAAAAGTTTTTTTTATTATACCATATAAATTGTTTCACCAATGTTTCCATTAAGAAACGTTGTTTTTACATGCATATGATAAAACTTCAAATCAAAATATACAACTAAAGTCATAATTGTCCTAAAAGAGTCCTTCGTTGAAACCGAAGAGAATGTCTCTTTAAAGTCAATCACTTTTTTTTTAATATAACACTTTGCCACAAGACGTGTCTTATACCTCTCCACATTACCATTAGAATCCCTATTGGTTTTAGAAATTTCTTTACAACCAATGGGTTTCACACTTTATGGTAATAGAATAAGTTCAAACTTTATTGTTTTGCATAGTCTTATACTCCTGATCCATTGCTTCAATCTACTTATCTAAATTGGAATCCTCGATAGCTTCACGGAAGTTGATTGGATCATCTTACATCATACCACTACTTTCTTCATGTTCTTGGAGAAATACCATATAATCATCCGAAATGGCACTCCTCCTTTCTCTAGTTGATCTTCACAAAGGTGCTAGCTCTTGTGGCAGGGGTTCTTGTGGATGTTGAGTTTGTTCTTTATGAACAATTTCCTTATACTATATGGGAGCTGAAATGATTATATACTTTTGAGGTACTAAATTTATCACATCAATACCAACTACAACTATATGAATTAGATTAGATTGAACTAATTCTTCCTCAAAGGTAAAGTCTTTAATCTTATTTCTTCCCCCAAACTCAATATCCTCAAAGAATGTAATAATTCTCGTCTCAAAAATATTTTTTGATTTGAGATCATAAAATTTATACCCCTTAGATCGGTCAGAATAACTAATAAAGTAACTACTCACTGTTCGAGGTTCCAATTCCTTTTCATTAGGCCTGTAAGGCCTTGCCTCAACTGAATAACCCCATATATGAAAGTGCTTTAGACTAGGCTTTCTCCTAGTCCAAAACTTATAAGATGTTTTTGCAATTGCTTTAGTTGGTACTCTATTAAGAATGTAAGCTGTAGTCTTTATTGTTCTCCTTAGAGTAACTCTGGCAAATTAGATAGAGGAATCATACTTCTTACCGTATCCTTAAGTGTGTGATTTCATCTTTTAGTTATACTATTCATGCTAAGTGACCCTAACATTGTATATAGAAGGATAATTCCATACTCCTCTAGGTATAGAGCAAATGGTCTTGGAAGTTGTTCACTTGAGCTATCATTTCTGTCGTTATATTCCTCTCCACAATAAGATCTAATGCTTTTTATCCTGAGTTGGTTTTCAACTTCAGCTTTAAATGATTTGAATATATCTAAAGATTGGGACTTTTCATATATTAGATACAAGTATCCTATCTAGAGTAATCATCTATAAATGATATAAAGTATTGTTGACCATTCTATAAAGGCATAGGAAATGACTCACAAATATTAGTATGTATCAATTCTAAAACATTTGTAGCTCTATATGCACCTGATCTCTTAGATTTGATTTATTTACCTTTTATACATTTAACACAAACATCTAAATATGATAAGTCAATGGGATCAAGATTCCCTTCTGACATAAGTCTTTCAACTCTATATCTAGAGATGTGACATAACCGTTTGTATCATAATACACTCGAATTTTTAATTTTACGTTTAGTACCTCACAATTCTACATTTATGGATTTATGATAGAATGATATAGTATCAAGTAAATATAGATTGTCATAAGTCATAATTGAACCAATTCTAATCATATTTGAATTTAAAGACAAAGTAAACTGATTGTTTCCAAATGAATAAGAATAACAAGATTTGTCCAAATAAGAAACAGAAATTAAATTTCATCTTAATGATGGTGCAACAAAATTATCTTTTAAATCTAAATAGTATCAAATACACAATAACAATCTAAATGTATCTATAGGTTCCATATCCATCGATTTTTCATCCCCACATAAATATATCTCTTAACATTATTGGCCCTTCGGCAACTTAGGCAACCTTGTATTGAAACACTAATGTTAGTAGTTGCATCGAAGTCTAACCACAAAGTGTTTCTAGGTACTAAAGTTAAATTGACTTCAGAATAAACCAAAAAAAGGAACATACCCTTTTAAGCACGCCAAGCGTGATATTTGGTACAGTCCTTCTTCAAATGCCTAGATTTCTTATAGAAGAAACAAGTATTAGCCTTATTTTATTTTTTTTTGTGTTGGACCCTTATCATCCTCATTCTTTCAATATTTATATTTTGTTTTCTTGCCCTTATCCTTGCAAGTGCTAGCCAAGTTAGCACCTTCATAACTGACCTTAAACTAACTAAATTATGCAGGGAGAGATATAAGAATTAAATGGACAAGTAAGTCCTTTGATAAGTCAAGCTTTAATGCTTTGA